AGGAAACCTCATTAATGGAACCAGTTTACAAACAACAACAATAATGGATATACTGTACATAGGTCACACAATATAGTGTAATATATTCAGATTTTCAGAAAACATTTGATGAAGTATCTCATAAAAGACCAAGTCTCAAATTACAGGCAGTAAGTACTCAGGGAAATGAGTATGTTTGGATTGAGAAACAGTTAATGAATATGCTATAAACACCATAAAAAGATGTGAATGATCTGATTGGAGTTGGAGTACCATAGGGATCTGTATGTACTGTAACTACTGCTGTTTATTTACTGCTGCTATTTATATCGGTGATCTACATTCTGGTATAGTTAATAAACTAGTTAAGTTTTCAGTTGATACCAAGTTGGGAGGAATATCAAACACTACAGAAACAGTAAAGGAAAAAAAGATTTAGAAATCATTTTAGCTAATTATTTTTAATACAGACATACACAGGGTTTTTCATGCATGTAGTAAGAACAAAAACTAAAAATACAATATGAGTAACTGTGCTAGAAGTGGCTTCTTGACTTCTTGGTGTTTATTTTAACATATAATTTACATAATCTATACAATATGGGACAGCCAGTACAAATACAGTATAGTTACACCCATATACTGTATATAGTTAAAATCATAGAGTTTAGTCAAAGGATGTTATTTTAAAACTGTGCAATGTACTAGTAAAGCATTATTTAGAAAATTGTGTGCAATTTTGATCAAATTTGCTACTACCCTCTTAAGTCTCAAACAAAGAAGGTCTTAAGGGGACTTGATAAAAGTTTTCAAAACCCTCAAAGGCATTGACATCAACTTAGTGCCCTGGTTCAGAATGAACAGCGAAACACAGTGACAGAGCAGCGGCGGAGCAGTGGCACTGTGGCTAAGGATCTGTGCCTGTGACTGGAAGGTTGCTGGTTCAAATCCCAAGGCCAGTAGAGGAATCCTACTCTGTTGGGCCCCTAAGCAAAGGCTTTAACCTTAGCTGCTCTAGGGGTGCTGTATAAATGGCTGACCCTGTGCTCTGACCCCAAGCTTCTCTCTCCCTAAGCTGGGATATGTGTAAAGACAAATTCATAATGCAAGAAATTGTAGATGGCTAAGAAAGTGACCTTAACACAAAGCAGAGGGCAGAGGTGGCAGCTATGTGGAAGTGTCACACCACAACTAACCAGATTGCAACATGGAAACATTCTCACTTTTCTTACACTCCAGCCCTGAGCACTTCTAGCAAATTACATTGTTCTGACCAATCAACCAACCACGGCACTTCACTAACTACTGCATCTTCCACCTCCTGTAATACTTAAAACTCCACTGCCCTCTGTTCACTGCCCGGTATTGGTCTCTCCTGTAGGAGGTCCTTACCTCGCCCTCTCGTCCAAGTTACTTCTCTAGTCTTTTCGGATTTGAATCTCGTCCTCAACCACGTCTACAGCCTAGCCCCGTCTTCAACAACTAAGACACCGCATAAGGTCCAACTACTCGGAAGTGCCTTTAAAACTGGGAATGAGAAGCATTCGTTATGCAAAGGGTTGTGGGAGTGTGGAAAAAGTTGCCAAACCATATGGTTGAAGCTGATATTCTGTCTTTTTTCAAGAAATTGTTGGAGGAAATTCTAAGATCAAATGTAAATGTATGAATTAATCAAACTGGGGATCTGCTGAGGAACGGGTTTCACATTAAATCTACAACAACTCCAAATTCCAAAAGTTTGAAAGAAGTTCTTCTTTAATGGCACATTGTGCATCTTCTATGTGAATTTAAACATGGTAACATACTGTAAGAAAGACTGTAGATGTTGGTGAAAACTTCAACATCCTGAATATTACAAAACCATATTTTATTTGAAAATGAATTTCAATATAATTTTAATATATACTTTGTAGTCCTAAATAAGATTTCTAACAAAAAAAAATGGGAAAATCTAAAGTCATTGGTTTGTAATTCTGCTGATACACCACAGAGTTATGCTGTTTTAATGGCTTCCAATAGCATGAACACATAATGTGTAATTTTTATAACATTGATTTTCATGGAGATCATCTTTGTGCTTGGCAGTTCAGTGTCAGTGTTTCATGCCAAGCCTGGGATGCTGTTGGATTGCTTACATGGTTGTTCCAAAAATTTAGTCCTTGAGGCTTATCTTGTTTTTGTTCAATCTAAGCCTTTAAAAAGGCAATGAAAATAATCACTTACTTAATTATCCTAACAGTTTACCAGGTGTAAAATGGAGACCATAAAGTAAGTTTTAGTAAGACCTATAAAACCACATAAATTACATCTCTTGAAGTCTAACACCAAGGACGTTTGTTTTAATTAATCTTTTTGTTTCAACAGTTTCAATTACAATACATTGTGTGTTGCAGATGGTATAATTATTGTGTTTGTGTTGCTGTGCAGTCTTTTTAGAGCAAATTAGATGCTGTGGTAAAGACCAAATATGGTTTTCTCAATGGAAGTTGCCAGGACCTTAATACTTCTGTCTCATGAGAACAAGCCATCCAAATGAGACTCCATCTGGCATTTTCTGCTCCATTCCCCTTCATTACAACCCTCTGCACATTATTTTCCACTGCCTGGGTTTTCTACAGTGACCCCTTGTGGCACATATTGTGGCAATAATAAACACCATACCAATAAGGTGCTGTATATTTAAAATTTATACCGTCAGTAAAACCACAAAAATGTTGTTGGTTCCAATAGTAATTTCTTATGTTTTTAATGCCTCTTAGTGTCTATATTGTATATATAACAGAATATACTGTATAACTATGTATGTTCCATTCTACTAAATGTGACTGCATCAGAAGCGATGTGAATTTCTAATGAAGAAATTAATTCCACAAATTGAAAACCCTCTTTATTTTCTGGAAATATCTTTTTAATGTTATGCAGTTGGTACCTTGCAATTTTCCATGCTTTATTATTTACATCCTAATTTGCATGAGAAATTCCCCAGTGTTTCTCACGATTGTTGGGCGATCTCTACCACTGTAACCCGCTTGATGTCATGTATTTTGCAAAGCTACTGTATGTGTCATAGTCCTTGGATGCAGATATTTCATTTTAATTAGTCAACAGTTAGAAGTTAGAAAATAGAATCAGGCCAACAAACCTGGGAATGTCTCTGTTTCATTCAACCTGTGAACGTAGTTGAAGTAATCAATACTGAAGAAATTAATTATTTTGATAATAAGTCAGATCACCTCTGGTTTTAGACCTTAATCATTTGGTAGTTGAAGCATACATGATCATGAACATGAACAACCCACTGAAATTTTCCCTTCATACACCAGAGTTGCCCATCCCTGATATCAACAGATGAGTATTAGAAACACTGACATTGGTTATGTTGAAATGCCTCTCATTTCTGTAATAGATTCTAGCCAACGTTGAAATGGGAATATGGACTAGTTTCATTACAATAGATGAAAAGAGTACAAATCTGTGCCTAGCAATTGAAATTCATATGGTACTTTATATCGACGCTGTAAATTACAGATGTTACGGGTGTATGTTTGCATTTTGCCTATTGAATGTTACTTTTTTATTTGTACAGTACTTAGCCCAACTGTTTTATTAAGGTCATACAGAACACGTATTTCAGGGGCAAGAAGATTTATATGATCAGCTAAATTTTTTAGACAGTGATAGTCTCAAACACACTCAGAAAACAAGGGGAAATTCTTATTTTATTTGTTTATGTTGAGTAACTAAGATTTCTTCTATTAAAAAAGAAAAAGACAAACCACTTTGGAATAAAAAACATTGTTGACACAAGCAGTGCCCTTACAATGTCATTGTTACCAGATTAGGCTGAACCTGTGAGAAAACAGTTTATTGAAGTGCATTTACAGTATTCATTTGGCAGTCATCAGTTTGCTATAATTTATAATTGTGCATTTATTCTTTGCTGAGCAGTTACTGTATTTCTCTCTGGCAGGGTACTATAAGGTTCTACACTCTATTGTTTTAAAAGCCAGAGATTCCTTATTCAGAGCCACAAAGGCAAGAGCTGAAGCTGATGTAAAACATCCGTCCATTTTCTAGCCACTTCATCCAATACAGGGTCACGAGGGAGCCTACCCCATTAATCAACAGACGTACTGTTGGCAGGATACACTCTGGACAAGATGCCAGTCTATCACAGGACACACACGGACACAAACACACACTCACACCAGGGCCAGTTTGCCAGAAGCCATTTAACCTACCAGTATGTCATTGGACTGTGAGAGGAAACGAGAGAACCCAAAACAAACCTACACAAATACAGGGAATGTAACGAAAGCGTTCTTCCAGAACCCTATGCAGACGACACAATCTGGGGAAGAGTGAGGAAAACACAGGGGAAAAAGCATGCAGGGGTCGGAAATGAAAACTGGGGGCATGTCTGTGGTACGCAGGTGTTCTAGGGGGTGAGTCCAGGGCAAACTTTCCAAAAGGGAGTCCAAAGGGAAATCCAAGATGAGGCAAATGTCCAGAGCCGGGCGGTCCATCCGAGAAGGAGACAAATGGGATTAAAAACCGGAGTGGGATCCGGTGGAGGGTCGGGGGGAAAAAAGGGGGCAGGTCCCGGACTCGCCTGGTACAGAAACCAATGTAGAGCCTGGAACAGAGTGAGTTTCTGGCTTTTAAGGTGGGCTGAAAAGGAGGCTGGAACAGGGAGCACAAAATCAACTCAGAAGTGAAAGAGCCGGAGCGCCCTTAAGGGGGAGGGACTACAGTCGTGACAGGAAACGCACACAGACCCAGGGCACTGGTGCTGTGAGGCAGCAATGCTAACCACCGTGCCAATGTGCATCCCCGGCGAAAAAAAACAATTTTGTGCAGCTCAAATTAACTATTAGAATGAATTGAAAATCCAATTTGACCTCTATTTTTACAGAAATTATAACATATTAAGCAACCAAAAATATATTTTTTTATTTTTCAAGACTTTAAGCATTAAAACATGGCACTAAACAGATTTTCTCTTGTCTTATCTTTACCAGGTCCTCCTGTGATAGTTGGCATGAGTATAAACATCGCCAGCATAGATTCAATATCAGAAGTGAACATGGTGAGTATACAATTCACTTGTGTATTGATTAAAGAGTATAAAACTGGTCAGAGGGCCCAAGAGTGAATATCATTACAGATTTAAAAAATTCAGGTAACTCTTGCAGTGCCACATTTTAACTTTGGAGTTTTTTAAATCAATTTAAATTTATATTATTGATTGCTTCCAATGACTTTTAATTCCAAAGTAATTTACATGTGTACCTACTGTATGTATACACCAATGTTTTTTACTGAATAATTATCTGAGCATAATCCACTTGTAATCTCATTGTACCAAACCAGTGGTTCTCAAACTTTTTGGACCAAGTACCACCCCTGATTAAACCAAAGCATCCAAGTACCACTTACAAGTCTTCTTCTCATAGGAACCCCAGAAATTCTCAATGACCAACATGAGCGCGCACGTGCGCACACACTCACATACATATATAATACATATTATAATAATAAACTTTATTTGATATAGCACCTTTAAAGGTGGCTTCTCAAAGCCCTTTACAGAAAAAAAACAGGAACAACAACAAATAAAAATAAACAATAAAAAAGCACCATTTCAGTGAGAGGGCTGAGCCTGTTTAGTCGAGCAAAGCAGATGTGAATTCATTTTTTGAGCCTTGATACAATTCACAACAGAGTCTAACAGCTTTTAAATCATCAGGCATTTTCTTGACGGCAAAGGTCTCACGGTGGATGTTGCAATACGTCCTTTCATTTCTGCAGCAACTTCTCCAATTTGTGCAACAACACCGCTATGTTCTAGCACCGCTCTAGCACCGTCTACAAACTCATTTTATCCAGTCGATGCCATTCTCTTCGATAAATTCATTAAGAAGCTGGAATATGTGCTCTCCTGTAGTTCCTGTTAGTAGCGGTTTACAGAACAGAAAGTCCTCATGGGACGTACCCTCAAACTCGTATCTAACGTAAACGAGCAAATTGGCCAAATTGACTACAGACTCATCTAATTGCAGTGAAAAGCATCTGCTCATTTTAACGCGCTCTACCAGCGTACTTTTGATATCATCCGCCATTTCAATAAGTCTGTGACTGTGTCTTTCAGAGGGGGCAGCAGGTCGAGCTGTTTAGCAGCTTTTTCTCCACACATAATATGTGTCAGCTCTTTTGCCAACGGTAAAAAAGGTTCTTCAAAAATAGTGTGGGGCTTACCTGCTTTAGCAATCCGCAAGCCTGCATTTTTCCCTGTTTCCGTTTCAGGAGTCTGTCTCAGAAGTTAAAAAAAGTTTTTATTTTATGCGCATGGGAGCAAAACAGAGACGCTCTGTGTATTTTTCTCAAATTAACCTAGAATAGTTCTTAAATATTTTTCTGTTATCTATCCCGCTTTCCTGTGCTCATGAGATTACCAGTGTTCCTAGCACACATTTCTATGCATTCCTGTGTTTACAACATTGGCATTGTTCCAAAATCACGCACATTCTCCTACCTCTCTATTTGCTGGAGATACGTTTTTTTAAATACAATTGGTCACTTACGTTCATAGCACGCATTCCTATAGAGTGGTATAGAATTACATTGTAGCTCTTGTGTCCACTCAAGTATTAGCGCGCGCTGTATCGTTGTATGTAGTCTGTGTATTCGACACGTCTTAAAATAGAAAATATGAAAACCCATCCCGATTTTTCAGTGCACACCGGTCCCGACCGCACAGCGGTCATATGGCATAACAGCTGGCGGCGCTCCGTGTACCAGGAGTGGTACCACAGTTTGAGAACCACTGTACCAAACAGTTAAAAACAATTAAAAAACAAACACAAAGACACCAAAAGGAAAGAGAAGAGGACATCCATGATAAAGAGAGCACTAACTACACTGCATCTAGTGTGCAAAAACACTGCTACACTGAAAATCCAAGACAAATCTTCCTTTTATGCAAGCTATGCATTCTCTCAATTTGCACCATTTTATCCAATGACTTTTGTCCATTCTATAAACTTTTTTTTCTAACAAGCACCACCTGGTCCTTATACTAAAGTTATTTTAAATAAATGTTAAATAGGTTATGTTCTTTACTATTTTTCATTAAATTACCTAGATATAGAAATGTGTGTAGGTTACAACAAGCAGTGTGTCATTGAGAAAATTAGATTATCTGTGAAAAATAACCTTCCTAAAATAAGTATATAGAAGGAAACCTTCGTAGTAAATGGTTGTCATTTCCAAGCCCATCAGGCATTTCAGTATTTACTGTATGTTTAGTTTCAGCTTGTTTCTGAGCTAAATTCTCTGTTCTTTAATGTTCTTTGAGCCCTAGTTTTTTGGAGGCCCTAGGCAAGATTTTGGAAATCTTCTCTCATCACAATTGGATCACAGTTTTCATGTACACTACCATTATAAGCTCCCAACCCAAACTTAGTTTACTATTTAGAACAATTAAATAAATGAATTACAGTATATAACTAGAAAACGTTTTATTAACCAGGTTTAAGAACACATAACAAATAACTTACAAAGAAGAACAAGAAGTAAACATTTTACAAAGATAACATGAAAACATTCACATGAAATGTGTATCTCCTAACTTCTATAGAACAATTCAAGTTATACATGTCTAGTTAGAAAATGTGGCATGTCTGCCACTCTCTATTTACATGAATCTGACAGGCTCAAAACCAAATGAAATGCAAATGCTTTCTCACAGTGACTTGATTTGGTGTACCTCATTTTTTAAGACTTATCCTACTCTTCTTTTCTGTGTTTCCTTTTCTCAGTGCCCGACAGGTACAGTATGTCCTTTTGGAGGACGATGTGCATTTACCAGTTGCAACTATATGATTTTAATTTAAAAGCATTACAACATAGTGTGCAATGCAAGTAAAAAGTCACTTGTAATTTTTTATTTCATGTAAGATGTAATGAAAGTTTAATAACACTGATTATCACAACATTTACTACTTTCCGAAATTAAACAAACAGCTTTAATGGTGCAGCAGCTGAAACCGCACTGATATTGTCAGTCATGGTGAAGATGAGAGTCATTAACTTATATCAACAGTGAACTAAGCTACTACACTTAGATTCGCAACTAATAATATTATAATTTATAACCAACAAACATTAATAGCCTGACTTATCACAGCAGCAACAGAAAAAGCCACTGGAGGGAATTTATGTTTTACATTTGTGAACATGCTGATTTAAAAAAAAACTATGTTGTGTTGCCCATTGAAGGCCCCTTGGGGGCCTCAGGGCCCAAGGCAGTCACCTAATTCGCCTAAGCCAAGAGCCAAGCCTGTTTACAAAAACCATAATGCAGTGTAGTAAAGCAGTAAAAATGAATCCCAACCAAAACAACAGTAAAATCATGGAAATCAGCATATTTTGTCTGCTCTGTGCCTTCCTTCACCTCTGTCATAGCTTCATGGATATTGTTTACACAAATGTGTTCTGACACAGAACAATCTGGCTGATCCATGTTTTTTTGTGCATTTTTTGTAAGTTGTTGGGTGTGTAGTTGTGTATGCTGAGAGTGACAGGTTGATTGCAAAGAGCAGGGAATGATGTATAGGTGTATCTGTGATTCCAAATCTATTCAGCATAGTGTTCTAAAAAACATTTCCTTATATGCAACTGTTCAGTATTTCCATAGGTACTTAAACTGGCAGATACACCCGGCATCTGGGGAAAAAGCAGCAGAAATCACACAATATGTCGTGAAGATTTGTGGAGCTGTGTTAAAGTGTTAGAATTCAGGCACAGTGCAGATTAGATATCACTTTAAACAAAAGCATGCTCTTGTTTTCAATTGCTGTTAAAACATGGGTATTAATATACAAATGTTAAATAATATAATGCATAGCACAAATTTAAATCACTTAATGTCTGATTATTATTATTATTATTCTTATTATTATTATTATTATTATTAGACATAATCTGAAATTACTAAACTTTTAAAGTATGTACAGTCTGTAAAGTAAGTCATTTATTAATTATTTTAATAGTGATTCATGTTAAATGTTAATATAAAAGTATTGCATATTTAGGGTATTTGCATTTGACAGTACATTTTCAATGCGTAAGACAACTGCTTTTTGAATACTTTCCAAATTCCACTAGTAATTGTGCTAAAAAGACAATGATCAATTACATGAATCATAAGTCAAAATATGCAATTAGCAGTTTCAATTGTAATTGATACATTGTGAGAAGCAGTTACAGTAACTGCATCTGCATACAGTACTTATAGGAATTAAGAGGGTAATTGGAGGAGATGAAGTGCTATGAAATTAAATATTTTATAAACTTTTAAGTTGTCAAATTGTTTCACAAACCGTTTTGTGAAATTACAGTATTTTTAAAAGTAGTAGTTACTAATATAAATTATGATACTGTACATACAATATTTAACTGGGCGGCACAGTGGTACAGCGGTTAGTATTGCTGCCTTACACTGCTGGGGCCTTGGCCTCAATGCTTGGGCTGTTATCTGTGTGGAGCTTAGAAGATGGATGGATAATATTTAACCCTCATCTGGTCCCAAGCTACACAGAAGATAACTCATACACCAGAGAATATATAATGAGCAGTAGTTGAAATTAAGCATTAAATGGTTTTTCACATATTGTTTGTTTTCACAGGAGGGTTTTCTGATAAAAAAATGTGTTTTATATATGAGATGCCAAAACTTGACATTGACAGGGTATCAAAAGCAGTTGGTATGGACAAAATAGCCATATGGTTGATTTGCCTTGAAAGTGTGTGTTAAAAATTAAGAACCTCCTACCTAGTCATTTGTTATTGAGTCTCAAGGGGGAACACTGATTCGCTATTGTTAGTCAAGTCAGCCTCTATCTCCTGTCAATCAAACAAAAGGCATGCTTTAGCTTGTCAATGTAGATGGATTTTGAAATGTGCCAAAAAGGAAAAGAAGATAACTTGTAAAACCAGATACTATTGAAAATGTACAGAATTACCTGGAATATAGGTATTTTCTTGCAATAATTATCTATTTCTACTCTCTCCAAAATAAAATGTGGT